TCTACAACAAATTACATCCATTTGCCAGATCTGCATTCTCTCTCTCTCTAAATATTTATTTATTTATTTATTTATTTTAGTTATTGGCGGACACAAGATCTTTGTTGGTATGTGGTGCTGAGGATCGAACCCGGGCCGCACGCATGCCAGGCGAGCGCGCTACCGCTTGAGCCACATCCCCAGCCCCTCTCTCTCTCTCTTAAAAACAAACAAACAAAAAAAACCCCCAAGCCCTTTCCTCCCATCAGGCCTGTGGACATACCCCAGGAGCTGATCAGGAGCTGATTGGCAAATTGACTTTACCAATATGCCCAAGGTAAAAAACATCAAATACCTCTTAGTGCTGGTGGATACATTCTCAGGGTGGTAGAAGCTTTTCCCGTATCCAATAAGCGGGCTTCTACACTTGTGGGCCAATTAATATCTGACATAATTCCCCACTTTGGAATGCCCATCTCACTCCAATCCGTCAATGGCCCCGAATTTACTTCACACATAACCCAGGAGCTGGCTCGAGCTCTATCACTCCCTTGGCACTTTCATTGCCCATACCGCCCTCAGGCTTCAGGGAAAGTCAAAAGAACTAATAGATCCCTCAAAGAAACCCTCACTAAACTCACCATGGAATTAAGCTTAGATTGGTCAAGAGTTCTTCCCCTGGCACTATTGCGCCTCAGAGCCCTACCAAGGAAGCCATCCAACCTTTCCCCATTTGAGGTCATGTATGGCCGCCCACTCCTGCCTCCTGGAATACAGACAGAACAATTGCCTATCCCTGATTCCTACACTCTACCTCTCCTCTTCCATCTACGTTCTGAACTCTGGAAGTATCAGGACTGGCTTTTACCTGATCCAACCCTTACTCAAAACCCCCCCACTCTAACACCTGACCAATGGGTATACTCTTGTCCCCCAGGTGAGAAACCTCAGCTACATCCCAAATGGGAAGGCCCTGCCTCAGTCATCATGGGCACCCCTTTGGCAGCTAAGCTTAAACTCACTAATAACCAATTAATTGGGCTGGAGATGTGGCTTAATCGGTAGCACTCTCCTGGCATGCATGCAGCCCGGGTTCGATCCTCAGCACCACATACAAACAAAGATGTTGTGTCTGCCGAGAACTAAAAAATAAATATTAAAAAAAATTCTCTCTCTCTTAAAAAAATAATAATAAAAAAATAACCAATTAACCCTGTGGATTCACATTTCCAGGCTTAAACCGTGCATCCAGGAGACTGATTCTGGCATCATGGGGCCAGAAGATCTGCAGGAATCCACACCCACATATTCCTGTTCTCCTCACCCTCGCGATTCCTTGAAACTTCATCTTTCTCGCGTTCCTGCCCTTGTACCTATACCTGAAAACATATCAGAAGATGCACCTTAATTTTCTGTTTTCCATCCTTACCCTTACCCCAGGGGTAATGCCTTCACCCTCATATGTCTGGAGATTCAAAGTAAGGGAGACATATACCCAAAAGAGCACCAAGATTACCCGCTTGACTGCTACCTCTGACTGCCCCCTATGAGGGTGCTCCTCAGCCATTTATATGGTGCTGTCTTCCTCCTCTGAGCTTATTAAACAAGCCAGCCGCCCTTACTTATGTTTTTTATATGACCAAAATAAGGATCACTGTAAATGGTGGCCGGAAACCTACGGAGCCTGCCCCTATTGGTCATGCAGAATTCATGATGCATATTCAGGACAATTAAATATAGGAAGATTCAAATTTGAGTCTGCCTCCCACCAGTACAATCTGACCATCCCAGACCCTTGGGACCCACGCTGGGCATCAGGGGTAAAAGCTTCCTTTTATTGCAATGGCTATGCTTCCACCCCCTGCGGTTCCTTGTCTATTTCTCGAGAGTATGTTTCTGTGGGGTCCCCAGTCTCTCTTGTCTCAACCAACATAAAACACTGAGAACAGCGGTTGCTCGCATCCTTAGAAAACCAACATGCTTCTTCTGACTCTCAGGCTTCACCAATCTATACCTGATTACAAATCATTACCGACACTCTGTCCTATCTAAACCAAACTTTCCCTGATACAAGTCCTGCAAATTGCTTCTTGTGCGCTTCTCTTGCACGGCCTTTACTTGCTGCAGTCCCAGTAAACGTTTCCAGCTTGCCCACCTCATGCCACAAAGGAGATCCTTTCAAACCTCTACAAAATATTCCCTTATGGGAGCCCGAGGAGGGTAACCACACTACGATTCCTAGGGCTTTCCTTCTGGGATCCACAACCCCCAACTCCCTGCTGGATGGCTTTTGTCACCATAATCTAACAATCAATAACACCACCTATTCCCCATCTGGTCTCTTTTTCTGGTGCAATGGCACTCTCACCACCATTATGTTTCCCAATATGTCCAGCCCATGTCTTCTCGTTACTATAGTCCCACAGCTCACTCTCCATAGTAGTTCTGAAGTGCAATTCATCCTTAATCCTCCAAGACACGTAAGACAGGCTGCATTCCTTCCAGTAGTGGTGGGTATCTCATTAACAGCCTTAGCAGCAAGTGCAGGCTTATCAGGAGGAGCCTTAGGTCATTCTCTATGGGCTGTCAAGGACATGAATTCGAAACTCGAGGGGGCACTCACTTCAACAGCAGAATCTCTAGCCTCCCTGTAGAAACAGGTCACCTCATTGGCCCAAGTCACCCTCCAGAATGGCAGAGCCCTACATTTACTGACTGCCGAAAAAGGCAGAACCTGTCTTTTCCTCAGGGAAGAATGCTGTTATTACATAAATGAATCAGGGCTTGTGGAAAGCAATATTATTAAGCTCACTAACCTAGCAGCCACCCTAAGGACCCCAGTAAACCAAAACCTTTTCTCTTCCTTAATGGCCACTCCTCTTCTTACATGAGTATGGCCTATCCTTGGACCACTATGTGTAATTCTTCTGATGTGTCTGTTTCTACCATATATTGTAAAGTTTATTCAGACTCAAGTAGGTAAAATCTCTAACCAAACTTTTAACCAGCTTCTGTAGAAATTATCAGCTCCTGGCCACTGATGAACCAGCCACCTCTTCCAGGGAACGTCCCACCCAATGTTGAAAGACTCATCACAAACTCCTGGAACACCTTTTTAAGAGCAATATCCGATGATGCCTGGCTTGTGCTCACCCATGGAGACTTACATTGACTGAATCAAGATGATAATGGATCTTTGGCTGCAGGGGACTTTCTGTGACATCCCACCCGACCTTATACCAATTCTTGCTGCCCTCCTATGGGGGCTCCTGACTTCCCTCCTTCAGACCCCTTCCCCGGCAACGCCCCCGCTCAGCAGGAAGTAATCAGAATGAATAGGCATCCCTTTCCATGCAATAACAAAGAGGGGGGAATGTTGGGAGTCCCCTAAGAGTTCCCCAGGCTCTTAACATGACGGCGGGCACATTGCCAATGGGCGGGCAATGGGTAGGCAATAGGTTGTTTTGAAAATTCCCCAGTTGGTCTGCCCTTCTTCCGCACTCAGCTCCTGCTCCACTTGGACCCCATGCTGAGTGAATACACATGTACCATATGTGTTGACCTGACCTTTATTTGATTGGCCTCAGGGGGCTTCCTGCTTTGAGACAACTGGCTTTCATTTTCTATATAAGCCAGTACCAACCTTCAATAAATGCACCTTTTGCCACAACTGTCCGTGTGTATGTGTCACTCTCCGACGGCAAACCTTGGCTTTTCAATTTTCATATGCTGTTGGTACTCTAAAGGAGTCACTTGTCCTTGAAGAAAATGGAAACTTAAAAAACTCTCAGGGAAAAAGGGAACCAAGGACTCTGACCAGTGGCAATTTCCCCTGCCCGCCAAAAGTAACTGACAAACTCCCATGATGTGGCCCTGCAACTCACTCTTGTCATAGCCAGTCACCGTTTATTCTTGAAAATGTGCCCCTTGGCTGCTTAATAAAGCATTGATGATCCTTTATTGAAGTCTGTTTCTTTTTCTTTTTGTATTCTCTTTCATATTTCAGTCCTCAAGCAATCTGGAAAGGGGAGAGGCTTGAATATGGGAATTCCTTACTAATGACTTGGCATCTCTTTGAAGTGCCTTCACTTTTATTTGTTATCCAAAAAAAGATTTTTTTTTTATATGTTTGCCCCAGGTTAGGTCTGGAAGCTCTCCCTAGATAACAGGTCATTAGGCACCGCTTTTTTTTTTTTTTTTTTGTAGACGAACAACTTTATGTGGTGCCGAGGATCAAACCCAGTGCCTCATGCATGCTAGGCTAGGCCAGTGCTCTACTGACTGAGCTATTACGGCAGCCCACCACTTTTTTGATTAGTGGGTCTTATGGAGGAAAGTTGACACTGATCACCCAGCTTTTAGAGTGATCCCTGAAGAGCATTGAGCTTTGAAGCAGACATGAATTGTAGGGAACTTAACCTACTTAGTACAGATGTCTGGGCCTTACTATAGAATCTGTCTAGAAGTCAATGTCTTTGAACAGATGTGACAAATTCCAGAAAAACACATCTTTATTTACTAGGACTGGAAAAAAGACAGGCTCACAATCAAAAGACTGGTTTGATAACTTCATGTAAGATGGAGAGAGCTTGGCAACCACAGGCTTTAGTTGTGAGCAGGTGCCCTGACCTGCCAAGTTGGTACCCTGGTCAGTAGGTTAGGGCTGTTGGTCCTATTTCCTGACACTACTGTGATTTCCCATATGCTGTTCSCTGTATTAAAAATCACAGCTTTGGTGTCCTCCAGGGTCACATGAGAGGATCCATTTGGTGAACCAGAGCTTCCTAGCTGGGAGTGGGTGGCTCTGGACCTTAGGGCACACAAATACAGGATGTTGTTATCAGTGAAGCCCTCTGTCCCAAGTGTGGGGATTCCTGCCTAAACAGTGTCTGGCTGAAGACATGAATTTTCTAAGGTCAGTTACTGTAATGTATATGCTGGCCTGTGGCACACTGGGAGTGCCCGGGAGGGGGCAGCAAAGCCCTTCATCCTTGTCAGTACACTTGCTGGGCGCCCCCTCCTGGGCTCAAGACCTTTGCTTTTCTGAGATGGCTTTGAAGCCTGCATGTTGGGACTGAAGATTGATGACTACAGCTTAAACAAGGAAGGAGTGAGGCTTGGATGGGAGTCCTGGAAATGGACACCACTGGGATGGCCACTGTGTGAAGTCAAAAGGGCCTGAAAATCCTCTGTCCAGACTTCCAGGTCTGTGCTGCTTCCTCCAGAGTGGAATTGAGCTCAGCTAGGTTCAGGATCGGCAGCAGGAAGACCCTTGACCCTCATTTTTAACATACTCGTGCAGCCGGAAGCGGGGCTCGCTGGAAGCCTTCGTGGAGCGCTGTTTCAGCTCCCTGCAGAACAGTGGTGACATGGAACAAGGTGGCCTCTTACACCCCCGGCAAGGGGATTCACACCTTGGGTTTGGGGGTTCTTTGTTCACTGCCAGGACTTACTTTGCTATGGCTGTGAAGGCCAAGTCCACATTGAGGCCTGACTTGGCACTGGTCTCCATGAAGGGCAACCCATATTCCTGCAAACAACTGCTGCCAGCTGGGTGGTGGCCTGGTGGGGACAACCCAGGCTCCCCAGCTTCAGGGTACCCTCATTGCCCACCCTGCCCTGACTCACCTTGGCCAGCTTCTCCCCATCCTCCCTTTTCACCACACGTTCATGAGCGGAGTCCACCTGGCCCAGGCACAGGGTTTTGGGTGATAGGGCCCATGGCTTGGCCACCCTCCCCCATCACCTGCCTTGCCTTATAGGCTGTAGAGGGCAGTCTGCCCACCTTGTTCCCCAGCAGCATGAGCACCACGTTGTGCTGGGCATACTCCTGGATCTCTGTCAGCCAAGCCTGTGGGGAGAGCTGGGGGCTGGTGCTCCTTGCACACCTTACCCTTTTGGAAACTTGGCCCCTCCAGGCCACACCTTGTAGATTGCCCGTTTCCAAAAAGCTCCCATGCGTTGGGCAGAGGTGCCCACCTTACAAGTGCCTTATCCAGGGAGTCCTGCTGACAGAGCTGAATGTCACCCAAGCCCATTTTAGCTCATACTCAACCTGGGCTACCTTGAGCCCTGGAGAGGCTTGTCACTTCCCCTCCCTGTTAGGGTCCTCAAAATTCTAGGGGATTCCATGGCATGGCCCATGCCTCCCACCAGGAAGAGGCCACTGACCTGGATGTTGTCAAAGGAGGCCTTGTTGGTGACATCATAGAGTAGCAGTAGTGCTGGGGACAAATGACAGTGAGGAAATCCCTGGAGCCCAGTGGCTCCCTGTTCCCAAGTCACCACAGGTAAGAGCATCACACCCTGAACTGCTGTCCCACTGGCCCTCTTACACCCTCTGAGCTGGTCACCTATAGACCACATCCCAATTCCCAGGAGTTTGGTCCCTGGTCCACAGACTCACCATGAGCGTCTCGGTAGTAGGCATGAGTGACACTGCGGAACCGCTCCTGGCCAGCTGTGTCCCAGATCTGTGTCAACAGGTACTGGTCATGCTGTCTAGCTCCTTCCTGGTATCCCCTTCCCCCAACTTGCCCCTCCCTGGTCAACTTACCTGCAGCTTCACCTTCACTCCATCCACGTCCAGAACTTTGTTCTGAAATAGAACCAGCCCAGTGCCACTCTCTGGCCTGGGGCTTCCTAGGGTGAGGTGCCAGGGGGTGGGGGTGGGGGTGGGGGTGGGCAGTGCAAGCCAAGGCTGAGCCCAGGTTCACTATTGGGGAGGATAAAGTTCCCTGTTCTGCCTCTTGCTAAGTCCTTAAGTCATTCTTGAGCCTTGCCCACCCCCACACCATCTCCTGATAGTTTTCCTAAAGGCCATGTTTAGGCCCATGTGCTTCCTGCCTCCTCCTGGCAGAGCCCCCCGCTTTCTGTTCAGATGGCTGCCCTGATGAGCTTGCTGGTTGCCACCATCCATGGCCAGCTGTGTCCAATTTTAGGTCAAGTTTCTTTTTGCCTACCACCTCCACTGACCTGGAAGGCCCCTGCCTCAGCCCCCAGAGGGGTCCCATTGCTCCCTCTTCCCCTCTCATAGCCCATCCTTAGCTGCCACCCTCCTGAGGTCTGCACAGATTTCCCTGAACCATTTGCAAATGCAGYCTGTCCCCTGCTCTCTGAAGAGTGCTCTGGACACCCTGCTTTTGCTTAGAGCCACTCATACTGATGTATCTGAAGTCATCTGTGGTGTGATCCCAAGCCTGTTGTTGTGCCTCAGTTTTCCTATCTGCGGATGGAGATAGGCAGGGTGCCTGTCTCATAGTTGCTCCTATAACTTAATGAGCTGTTCTATATGTGCACTGAGAACCACATTTAGCCCAGATAAAGAATTAGTTTTGTTTGTTTTTAAGTCTCTCCCAGCTGGGCATGATCTTGTAATCAGGTACTCAGAAGACTGAGGCAGGAGGATTGAAAGTTCAAATCCAAACTGGGCAGCTCAATGAGACACTGTGTGTGCAAGTGCGTACTGAGGATTAAACCCAGGAGTGCTCTACCATTGGGCTACATCCTCAGCCCTATTTTATTTTGAGACAGGGTCTCACTGAGTTGCCTCAAACTTTTGATCCTCCTGTCTCAGTCTTTGAGTTGATGGGATTATAGGTATGTGCCACAATACCTGGCTTCAAAATAAAACTAAAAGGGCTGGGATTGGTGATATAGCTCAGTGGTGGGTTGAATCCCTAGTACTTAAAAAGGAAAAAAAAAATTTTTTTCCACACTGGGACTCTAGCTCTTCCTGTTTGGCCCAGTGCTGTACCCACAGAGCCTAGAACTGTGTCTGGTATACAGTAGGTACCAGTGTGTGTATGGCTGTCAGTGCTCCCCAGCTGGGCCTTCCCAGTTCAGGACTTGAGGATACAAGTGGCCCCACCCCAGGCCAAGAAGAGGGCTAACCACAAGCTGAGTCCCTGGGTAGCTGGAACTGGTACCACTTCCTCCCTGCTGTCAGGGTGCTTCTGGGTCTCCGGGGAACCAGGCTTGGCCATCTGCTGTGCTGAGGAGAATACCTAGCCTTCCCTGGCACCCTGAACAGGGACACCAACCAAATGGCCTCACTTCCCTCACTGCCTCAGAGGCAAGAGTGGAGGGGGAGGGAGGCCAGGATGGGCAAAGGACCACCTGCCCACAGCAGTGTCTACCCCTTTTAGCACCTCAGCCCTTCACTCCCACAATCTGGGTAGAACACAACTCTCCAGACTAGAGGAAGCCCCCTTTCCTGCCCCCATAATGGGCCTCCCTCTCAGCCTCTTGCTAAGTAGGTCTAATTAAAGGGTGAGAAAAATGCAAATTCAGGATTTGTCAAGAACAAGCCAGCACCTCAGCACGTGGGATTCTGACTGGTGGGCAGAGGTGGGGGCTGTAATGCTGGAACCCACAGATCCCTGCTTGGGATGTTGGAAGATTCCCATACCCAAAGGCAGGAGCTTCTCCCCTAAATAAGCCCTGTGAACACCTCCCAGGCTGCACCACAGTCACCTAACTTGCAGGGCCTGGGCAAGTGCCCAGCACCTCTCATATCCTTGGGCACCCTCTTGTACAGTGGGGTGGCAACACTGACTCCTGAGGGACATGGATCAAGTTCCTTCCCACTGCTGCCACCATGGGGCACAGGATATAGCACCAGGGCAGTGTCAGCCTCTGGCACAGGGGAACTGTCTCTGCTTCAATTGGATGCAAACACTTCTTCAGGCATTGGATGCTTGGTGGCTAAGACATCTTGGTCACAATCATCCTCACTGGGAATGCCACCTCCTAAGCCCCTGGATAGCATGGAGAAGACAGAACCAACTGCCTGCTGGTTCTGGGAGAACTCAGCTGATGTGGGGGAAACAGGGCTGTCACTGGGATCCTGGGTTCCTGAGCCCTCCCAGTTGGCAAAGCATCAGTCACCACTCACCCGGAAGTCTATGCCCACAGTGGAGATGAAGGTGCCTGCCAGGAAAGCACCATCCTTGAAGCGTACAAGCAGACAGGTCTTCCCCACGCCTGAGTCTCCCACCAGCATAACCTACAACAGGCAGGAGGGTCCAACGTGTCAGGCCTTGGGGGGAGGCATGCCGGTCCACCCAGAGGGGACTTCTGGTCTGCCCTGAGCTGACCTGGCCAGAGAGGGGTTGCAGTGAGGGGGAGGAAAGGAGAGGGGTATTCTAGGCTTGCAGGTTCAGCATGGGCTGGGGAGAGGCAGCAGCTATGGTCCCCATTGGCCTGGCCTGGACCTCCAGCTTCTGCCTCTGGTGGTAGTTTCAGTCCCCTCTCTCCCTCTGAATAGGGCCCATCTCAACAAGTGGCAGTGTGAAGACAGTATTCCTTTCAGAATCCTTCCACCATGGGCACCATATTTGATCTGAGAGGGAGCAAGAGCCTGGGTGGTGGCAGCTGAACCTTCTGAGAGATCTGTGGGGACTCAGAGGCAGGGTTTCTAACCCCAACAAGGACAGGAATCCCAGCAGCAAGGCTCAAGAGGGATTTGCCAAACCAAAATTAGATCCTGAACTGAGGAGGGTCCTGGGCCAGGTCTGTGGACAGGGAGAACAATCAGGCCCTCTCCCTCCCCTACCCAGCCTGCTGCCAAATGCTCCAAAACCCAAAGATGGTCCTACCCGTTTTGGTGGGGCCTACCTCCACCAAATTTTATGCACCTTCTGCCTTGGTTTGGGGGAGGCCTCAGTCTCCCCACCCAGCTGGCAAACGTCTTCCTAATCTCCTCCCTTCCAGAAAAAGGAGACCCGAGTCACTGGGGGTGAGGGAAGGCAGCATATGGGAAATGAAACTGAACCCAGGTGGGGGCTTGGATTGGGGAGGGGCACCTGAAGGGCTCTCTTCACCTATCGGGCTGGGCAGGCCCTGCCAGCTGCTCAGAACCCCAAACCCTGGCCTGACAGATGTGTGCGCGCGATGCTCAGGGCTGCTGTGCCAACTGGGGGGTGCCACTCACCCAGCTCAGATGGGAAGATCTGCGGGACCTTGCACCCCCAACCCTGGACCCCTCCCTGCTTGGCTCTGACCTGACGCCACCTGCTGCACTCGCTTGGGGGAGGGTGTCTAGCTCACCTTGAAGGCGACGTCGTAGAAGTCGCCACCGCCGCCAAGCGAGGGCCGACCGAACTGCGGGGGCCCGTTGGGCGGCGCCTCGGGGCCAGGGTGCGCAGTCCCGGGACGCACCGGTCGGGGCCCGTTGGCAGCAGGCAGAGCGGAGGCAGCGGGCACGCTGCCCCCCTTGCACTTGGGGGTCTTCTTCCTGGACATGACAGGCGGCCGTTCAGTGCGCTCCCGCAGTGGCCGCCACGACCGGGGCGGTCCCGCTCCTCACACCGGCTGAGTCCGACCCAGACCCGAACCCGTCCCGCGGCGGCAGAGGTGGCGGTGGCGGTGGCGGCATCATCCCAGGCGCCTGTCGCCCGCCCCGCCCCCGCCGTCCCACAGGCCTCGCAGCCACTCAGGCCCGGCCTCCCGCTGCTGCCGCCAATGGCCTGCTGGGGCGGGGCCATGCAAATGAGACCGCCGCTCCAGGGGCGGGGTCAAGAGACCCTGACACAACCCTAGGCTTGAGCTGCCGGTGAGCCCCTGCTGGGTCCTGCACCTCAGACCCAGAGACCCAACTTCGCGGGCGCCTTGGTACCTGGATGCTGATGTGGAGCCCAGGTGAGGGAGCACAGGGATCCCGCTGTGCGCTGTGCGCCATTCCATCCTCAACTGCTCCAGCCCAGTGACCCACTCACTGGACCTGTCTTAGGTCCTGGGACTAGAGAGGCGTCCTGAAAGGAAGGTGCTGGGGGCAGAGGGTTGACACTCTGGGATTCTGTCCTTTCTCAGCCATAGATGCCTGCCACCTGGCCCGTTGCTCCTCCTTGCTCTGTCCTCTCCAGGGCAGGCGGGTCCAGGAAGCTCCAACACTCAAGCTTAGCAAACAAACCTGGCTGTACCGGAGCACTCAGGGCTCAGCTGACAGCTGGTTATCAGAGGCAGGACATAGTGCGCACAGCTGAGTTGGCACTGTGCCACAACCTTTGCCTCCTGGGCTGAATCCTGGTGATCTGGTCCGGGGAAGTCTTTGTCACACCAGCAGAAGGCCCTTTAAGGGTCCCTCCCAAGGGGATCTGCCTTTGAGTCTGGGAGGAGGGAGGCCCCTCCCCCAGGTGTGGCTGGCCCCTTGGCCTTCCCATTCAAGGTTCTGGCCCAAAGGAGACCAGTGCTGATTCTCCAAACCCCAGGCTGGGCCCTGGCACACCCATCTCCAGGGCTTGACACCTTCTTCCCACTTAAGCTGACTGGAGCTCTGTCTCAGGATTCCCACCCAAGGTGTTCTGGTCTCAAGAATGAGTCTTAGGCAGTCAAAGCTGGAGGGAGGGTGATAGTGGGTGCAGAGGTCCCCCTGAGATGAGGTGCTTATTAGTACTCCTCTGAAAGCTGGAGGTATTCCTGGCTGTGCCCCAAGGCATGGCAGCTGTCACTGGGATCCCAGGTCCTTTAGAGGCCTGAGCCCTCCTAGTTGGCAGTGCCCAGAGCACAAATAATGAGCTGCTTCTGGGAGCTGGAACTCAGAGGTCTGGCAAGATACAGATGGCGGGATGCTCTCCAGTAGCAATTCCTTGAGAAGGCCTAGTAATGACCTGTTCAACAGAGGCCTGGAAAGCAGCCCAGCGTTGAGTGCTATCATGTATGTGCCAGGTATGTGATATCATCAAAACTGTATGTGAGATGGGAGCTGCTATGGTCCCCAAGGTACACATGGGGAAACCAAGGCCCATAAAAGCAAGGGGAGCTGTCCAAAGTCACCTAGAAAGTAACAGAACCAGGATTTTCTATTAGGAACTCTGACTCCAGAGAGTATAAAAAATCCCACAACATAGTTGGCCTAGATTCACCCCTCAGGGACCTTTCAGCTGGGGAGCAAACCCAGAGAAGCACTATTAGAGGTCCTCAGGTCTCCTTTCCTTGTCTCCCTCTTCTGCCCCCCACCCTCCAATGCCAGAGACCTACGAAGTGGGCCTTGAGTGAAAGTATTGGACTCCAGGTGTCCCACCCCTAAAAGACCAACTTCAGGATGATTGGCCTAGGATCTCAGCTGGGGACCTCAACAGCCAAAGCCCACTAGCCCAAGTGTTTTAGGTGGTGCATCCTAACTCTTCCTTCCAGCTACTACCCAGAGCATGCCCAGGGCATGGGAACCACAGGAGTTTGGATGCTCTGGGAGCGGGCCTGCAAGTAGGGCATCCGGGGGTGGAACAGTGCTGGCAGGGCGGGCACCTGCGGAGAGGGAAGGAGGCAGGCAAGCCAGAGAAAGTGGGAGGCCAGCAGAGGAGGGGAGCTTTAAGCAGGAGAGGAAATCAGGAGAGTTTATGTAAAAATCCAAGTTGCTGGTTTGTCTTGAGAAATGGGAGCACTAGGTGCCTGCATCAGGGTCCCACTCTCATGCCTCTCAGCACTCCTTCTAATCTTTGATCATTATGTCTCTTGACTCTTCTGTTTGCCATCTGTTTTCCTTTCTGGAATGTAAGCTCTCTGGGCATAGGAAACAGCCTGTCTTGGTCACTGCCATATTTCTGGCAGCTGGCTCTTCGTTTCCATAAGTAGTTATTAAACTGGTAAAAGAAATGTGAATTAGAAACAGGGGTCTAACTTCAGGAGGACATCTCATTGCTAACAAGAACTTAAGACAGGATGTGTATCAGTGGGCAATGAGAGAAAGACTGGTGTGATCATGTAGTAAGAGCAAGGCTTTGAGGAGAGGGAATTTGCACTGGCTTTTGAAGGTGTAGCAAATGTTCAAGTGGAGAGAGGACAGATTAAACTCACCAGGAGGAGGGCGTGCATATGCCCAGGTTGAATGCCAGTAGATGGACATTGGTAAGGTAAGAGAGGCCAGATTGTAAGGGAAATTTTAAAATTATGCCTAGGAGCTTGGAAATTGTTCAAAGAGAAGTAGGGAACCATGCATAGATCCTGAGCACAGCAACAGAGACAGAACAGGAATGGGGAGAGTGGCAGAGGGGATGGATGGTGGAGCCGGCAGGCAGGAAGATGGTTTTGAGGAGGATTGCAGTGGCCCAAGGGAGAGGTGCTAGGGACAGAGAGGACTCCAGGAGATATAGGTCTGCATGTCTGGAGGTGAGAAAGGATGACAGAGTCCATGAGGTAGAGACAGCCTGCTGGGGTAAATTAGAGATGACAGTTCCTTTGGTATTTCACAATGAGGGAGAGGGTCTAAGTCCCTTGCCCTAAAATCTGGGCAAGAGTTGTGACTGCTTTGCCCAATAGACATAGCAGAATGACTCTGGACCCAAAGCTTCTTCTCTCCTGGAATAGCCATTCTGTGAACCTGGATGCCCTCCTGGGAGTAAGCCCAATTAACTCGGCTGAGAAACCCAGTGAAAAGGGACTCATTGCTCATTGTGTAAATGAAGAAGCCAGCTTGGTGGTAGATGCCCCAGCCTCAGAGGACATCATACAGAGAAGAGATGAGTCTTCCCATCCTGCAGATTATTGGGGAATGTTTTTTATGCAGCAACAAATAACTAGAGCAAGCCAGGAGCAGTGATGCACACCTGTAATTCCAGCAGCTTGGGAGGCTGAGGCAGGATTGCAAATTGGAGGCCAGCCCAGCAACTTAGTAAGACCCTGTTTCAAAATAAAAAAGTCTGGGGTTTAGCTCAATGATAAAGAGTCCCTGGGTTCAATCCCAAGTGCCAAAAATAAATACATAAATAACTAGAGTAGACTGCCATCACAAGTAAGAGAAGGGGCCATCTTCATGGAAAAGGTAGGGAGGGTGGGGTGGCCTTGGCCAGACCTGGAGATGTCCAGATCCCCAGGATCTTCAGAACTGGAGAGAAGAGCCCTGCAGGCCAGGATGAGGCCCTGAGGCAGGGTCTGGAGCTGAGCTACAGGGGGGAAGTGAAGACCATGTGTCCCTGGAGAGGGTATCAACATCCACCTTTCCCATGTCCATGTTCTAACTTCCTGAGGCCTCACTCCTGGATCCTCACTCCTGCCACCCTGATAACTCAGACTCCTAGTCACCTCACCCTGACTGCCAGCTCCCACACTGTGCCCTCTGACTTGTCTTTCTGTGTGTCTGAACACCTTGTCCTAGAATAACAAGTGTCATGAATCGCCATCCATGACAACTTCCTGGGACTCCTGGTCTGGGTCCAGGCAATTTTTCTTAGTGGCCCCATTTTCCAAGCCCTCCAGCTTCACCCCTGCTTTCTGCCTACCCACAGAGCTAGGTCCTCTGGCTGACCCTTGTGCTGGGAGAAGAGGCACCAGCAGGAATGAGCATCTCCTTGACTTTCCAGGCTCTGCTGGGGGCTGTTCTTCCCTGGCTCCTTCTCCTGTACTTCTTGCTCCCCAGATGTTCTGCAGTGGTTCCCTGGGGGCTGCACTGCCTCTGCACTTAACCTGTGAGTTTCCTGAGAACAGACACCTTACTGCCTGTTGCTACCCCTCCCCAGGTACTAAAGGGACAGCTCTCTGACTGAGCAGCAGACAGACTGAACTTCAGAGTCCTGTAGCAAGCAGGAATAGTAGCAAAGTCCCCAAACCTTGTTCCCCTAGAGCACTTCCCCAAAAGACAGTCCTGTGGAACAGTACCCGAAGAGCAGCCCACCCCCCCACCTGGGCCCCTGGCTTGCTGTGTGACCTTGGCACGTGGTATCCTCCTTCTGAGCCTGCTCCCCATTCTGTGAAGTGTGGGGGCAGGAAAAGCTGATCTCAGAAGGCCCTTCTAGCTCAAGCACCTTATGTTCTATGACATCCGTGTGAATGTTGCTATGGAGACGTCACTGGCACTGCAACAGCATGAATGTGACTTCCACTTGAGAGAGAGAGAGGACTGAGTCACCCCAGAAAGAAGATGATGTCAGAGGTATGCTGGTCCCAGAGGCATGCAGGGGCCACACAAGTGTCATGCTCCTAAAAGGACACCTCCCTGCAGCTTCCCACTCACCTTGGTGGCTCTGATACCCTGTGGGCAAATGGTAACAGGTAGGTGTCCATCCTACCAAGTGATGCCAAAGCAGAGAGCCACTCCCTCGCAGATATAGCCACATGCAGAAGCCCTGTTCACCCCCTGCAGATTGTGGTGGCCAGGGGCTGGGTCTCAGCAATACTGGCTTCCATCTCCTGGCAGGATCCTCTTGTCTGTTGCAGGAGGCCGAGTGTGGGGCTCATGGTTCCAGGCTCTCACAGCCTCTGAAGGACTTATTTGGCCTCATAGCAGGTATAGATGTTGGCTTAAAACAGACCCCTGTATAATCATAAGAGTCACTGATTGCTGCTGCTCTGGACTGGGCCAACTGCTTCATTTGTGTTTATTCTTCTTTCTTAATTATAAAATCAATTTATGATTTATGAGTGTGAGTACTGGGGATTGAACCCAGGGCCACTCTA